TGAAGCAGAGGGAAGAAATGATGAAGTCAGAGGTGAACAGACAATTTCAAAGGGCAGCTCAAGAAGCTAGTCAAATATTAGAATGAAATGTGCAAAGACCTAGACAAAGAAGAACACGCTCAGCCTATATTAAACTGAAAGGACTAGAAAAACAAACGGAAAGAACTAAAAAAAAAAAAAAGTCTTTAGTTGCAAGATTGAAAGATTCTATAGGCGAAATACTGAATGATGCAGGATGCATCCAAAGAAGATGGAAAGTGTATATAGCCACTGTACTCAAAAGAACTAGCTGATGAAAATAATTAGAACTTATCAAAGGGTCACAAGAGTGGGAGGGGAGGAGGCAGGGGGAAAAGAGGAGCTGATACCAAGGATCCAAATAGCAAGTAAATGTTTAGAAAATGATGGCAACATATGTACAAATATGCTTGATACGATTGATGTGTGGGTTTTTATAAGAGCCCCCAATAAAATGATCTTAAAAAACAAACAAACTAGGCGACTGTGTTAGACAGGGTTCTCTAGAGAGATAAGACCAAATTGCTGATAATTTAATATATTTATGAAGATAATTAGATACATAACAAGAAATGAACTATTAAATCATTACAGATAAATCTATAATACAAGAAATTAACAGTTAAATTATAAGCACGACAAATGGCTCAGAGTTGTGAGAGACTAGCAGTCTTTCTCGTCTCTCTGCTGCCAGATCTCCCTCTATTTATAGAGAGAGCGAGGCTATCAGCACAGCAGCCAATCACAAGGCAGATCACCAACTGTCAAGTAACCACCAGTCCCAACTGCCAGTCCCCAGCTCCAGAGGTGTCTTAAAGGGACCTCAACTTACAGCGACACAGTCCACAGGCTAGGCATCCCACAGGTAGTGTAGCCTATAAATTGAGGCACAGAACAAGCAAGGCAGCCGCAAACTGGTCCGATGATCAAAGAACAAGAGACAAGAAAGGCGAGGCTCACCAAGTCATTTATCTCTCCGCCCTTCAGTTAATCCTACTTGTGTTTATCGGCCAGGCTGGCACGATAAACTATATCAGCGACATTCAACCTTTTCAGGAGGTAGCATATGCGCAAGAACCAATGCTAAAAGACTGCTAAAGAAGGCAGTCTAAGCTGCACTGAAAGCATTAGTCAAAATCAAGACTCTAGGAATTGATGGAATATACCAATTAAAATGTTTCAATAAGCTGATGAAGCACTGGAAGCACTTACTCCTCTATGTCAGGAAATTTGGAAGACGGCTACTTGGCCAAGTGACTGGTAGAGATCCATCTCTGTACCCATTCCAAAGAAAGTGACCCAAAGATTTTGACAATTGTAGAGCAATAGCATGCAAGTAAAACTTTGCTTAAGATCATCCAACAGGGGTTACAGCAGTACATTGATAGGGAGCCGTCAGGAAAAGTCCAAGCCAGATTCAGAAGAGGATATGGAACAAAGGATATCATTGCTGATGTCAGATGGATCTTGGCTGAGAGCAGAGAAAATCGCAATGGTGTTTACTTGTTTCATTGACTATGCCAAGGCATTAGACTGGACCGTAATAAACTGGATAACCTTGGGAAGAATGCGATCTCTTTAACACTACACATTCACCCTTCGAAACTTGTGCGTGAATCAAGAGGCAGTTGTGCAAACAGGACAAAGGAAAACTGCATGGTTTAAGATCCGGCAAGGTGTGTGTCAAGGTAGAATCTTCTCACCATACTTCAGTCAGCAAGCTGAGCAAATCATCAGAGCAACGGGCTTTTATGAAGATCGCAACACCAGGATTAGGGGAAAGCTTAAACTTCAATATGCAGATGACAGCTTGCTCGCTAAAGTGAGGGGGACCTGAAGCACTTGCTGACGAAGATCAAGGATTGCAGCCTTCAGTATGGATTATGATTTAATGTAAAGAAGACCAACATCCTCACAACTAGACCGACAGGTATCATCATGAGATATAGAGAAAAGGTTGAAATC